GAAAGACAACAGAGAGAGAAAGTTGAAGACACAAGATAGCCTAGCAACTTTTACATTTAAGAATCCAACAAGAAAGCCAGGAACTTGACACACACCTGTAATCCTAGCACTCAGGAAGGCTGAGGCAGGAGGATTATGAATTCAAATCCAGCCTGGGCAACACAGCTACTTAGTGAGACCTGCTCAAAATTTAAAATTTTCAAAAGGCCAGGATGTGGCTCAGTGCAAAGGTTCTGGGTTTGATTCTCAGTACAAAAGGAAAGACAGAGGGAGAGGGGAAAGAAGGAAAAAACTGAAAGAACAGAACAAGAAAAAAGATATAAGAAAATGAAAAAACAGGGCAGGGGAGCCAAGGGGTAAAGAATTAACCTACACATCCCACTATGGCGGGAGACCGAAAGAGGAGGGAGGAGATTTCTAAACTACAGTAAACAGCCTGGGAAGCACTTAACTCAGCTGTAGAAGCAGTAATCATTTCACTAGGGGTTTTCCCTTCAGAATTCAGCACCCAATCAAGCCCTCTGGTCCTAGCTACAGAAGCAAATGCCTTTCCCTCAAATCACATTTCTCCCCAGTTGTGTAGTTAACAAGCATAGTCCGGACACCAATAAAAGGAGTCCTGGCTCCCTCTTATCTAATATGAAGAACTAGTTGTTCACAGCCTCCCCTTTCTTTTACCAAAACCATTTCCGCCAAACTCTTACCGTTTTCCTTTCTGAATATCCACACACCAGGTATGTCTCCACCCAAAAACCACCATGTAAGGCCATCAACAGGATAACAGACTCCCTGTTTCAGGAAATGTGATTGATTCTAGGCAAGCAGAGACGAACGTCCTACAAGTCATAGGATGGGTCACTCGCACACATTCCTATTTGCACTGAGTAATGTCACAGAAACAAGTTTCATACTCTATACATCTGTCAGCAGTGGCCCTGTGCATCAGGTGCCAAAGCCTACAAAACTAACACAAGTGCCTGCGAGGGCTCAGGTAACTTACCAAAGGCATTCAGCCAATTTGTGACAGGTGAAGACTTAAACGTGGGTCTCAGGACCTTTACTCATTGCAGGAAGTCCAGCTGGCCAGGTAAGGTGAAATAATAAGCATAAGAAACCAAAGCTAAGCTGAGGGTGGGTCTGGAGCACGGGCTGCAGGACTCAAAGGATCAGGGCTCTGAACTCTGATTTCACAATAACGCTACAAGGAAGTCCAGCATGTAAAACAAATCCACACGGAACTGTCCTATTGGAGTGCAGCAGAGCCCTCCCAGAGCTCCTTTCCCACTCTCTGCAATGAATTCTCCTCCGTGGCTTCGCAAGAAACCTGGGACTCCTACAGAGCAGTTAGGAAACCACTGGGCTGAATCAGTGGCACGGTCCTGAGACCAGCAGCATCAGCATCGCCTTGGTAACCTCTCAGAAACGTGAATTCTTTGGGCTCATCTACTAAGATTTACTTACTAAGTCAGAGAGATTCTAGGGGTGGGGCTTGATAAACTTTTAACATGTCCTCCGGTTGATTCTGAAGCCAGTAAATGTTAAGAAACACTGGGCCATCTGTCTTGGTGACCTAGGAGGGGAGCATCTGAGCATGGGACTTGGGAGGCTTTGCTGAGACGCAGTCAGCAGGGGTAAGGAGCAGGGAGACCCACCCAAGGGAAGAAGCTGTCTGTGCCCATTCATCGGACACAGGGTAATAGGACGTGAGACTGGGCAGGGCCAGTGTCCAGCACCCTGGTTGAAAATTTAAAGAACAGTGGGTGTAGCAGGCCGGCCCTAAGGGAGCAGAATCCTGGTGAAGGAAGGGAATGAGCTCGGTGGGTGCAGAGAACGAGAGGGGAGAATTAGGAGGCTTTCATAAGAGCACAGAAGGGCCAGGGATTTAGCTCAGCAGCATAGCACCTGCCTAGCAAGTGTGAGGTCCTGAGTCTGATCCCCAGTACCAAAATAAATAAAGGCATGAGGATGGAGAATCTCTGTGTTTGAAATCTCAGTGCTGACAAATCTTGAGTTTACATTCAAGCCCAACACTTGGCTCTTCTTCATATTTCACTGTTAAATTTATTGCTACAATGTAGATCAAATATGTCTCCCAAGAGGCTCATGTGTTCAAAGGTGGGACTCTGGGAAGTATGTGCTGGGATCACAGAATGCTGACCTTCTCAATAGATTAACCCATTGATGAGTTCGTCGGTCAGTGTGCTATTAGGAGGTGGGTCACACTACAGAGGGGCCCGGAAGGCTGTGTTCCTGTCCCTGGTCCTCCATTCTCTCTCTACTTCCGGGCCACCGTGGGTTGAGCAGCTGCCCTCTGCCCTATCACCTCTGCCATGCTATCCCTGCCTCGGCACCTGCCAACCATACATGAACTGAACCTTCCGAAACCAAGAGCCAAGATAAAGCTCTCCAGGAAGCTGAGGGCATCAGGAGTTTGTCCCAGTGACTGGAAAATGACTAATACAAGAATAGACAAACTTGTATTGGAATAATTTCTATATGCTACAGTAAACCGACTATAAGTTGCTTTTTCTACATTCAAAAATAGTCTAATCTCTATCTTTTGTATATGTTGATATAATATTTTCATCCTTTTGTGAAAACAACCAGATCAGGGATTTTTTTTAATTGTAGTGAAATACATGTAAAACTTACCATTTTTAAATATACAGTTTGGGCATATTTTTATTTTATTATTTTTGTACTGGGGATCGAACTCATAACCTTGCCCTTGTTAGGCAGGCACAGCACCACTGAGCTACATCCCTGCTCTATTTTTCTTTTTTAGTGCTTAAAAAAAGTCATTCCTTTATAAAATAATAAAAAATATATTCTGAGGGCAGGGTGGGTTACTTGAAAAAATATAAAATTGATATTTTATTTAAAGTGCCCAGCCTTATTTTGAAATGTTACTGGATTGAGAAATCCAGAAGTCAAACACCCATTGCCTTAAAAGAATTAAAATCTAGAGAAATGAGCCGGGCCCGGTAGCACACACCTGTGATCCCAGCACTCAGGAAGCGGAGGCAGAATGATGGCTGTGAGTTCAAGGCCAACCTCGGCTACATAGTGAGTTCAAGGCCAGCCTGAACGACATAGTGAGACCCTGTCTCAGAAAACAAAAAGAAAAGAAAGGAGGGGAGCTGTAGGGAGGGAGGAAATTTAGAAGAGAAACTAGTAGCGAAAGAGGCAAAACCAAAGCAGCAGAAAGAGGAACACACTGAGCATTTTTAGAAGTGCATGGACTAGACTCAGTACAGCGATGGATTCCTGAAAGGGAGCAGCTAGAATCACACTTGGCTCTATTTTTAAACGTTGATAGTCTGATTATACTGTGCCCATAGCAGAAACTTGTTTAAATATTTTAATTGCATTAGTATGCTTGCAGAAGAGCCAGAAAAGGAAGTATGAATTTCACATTGCAGACCGAGAGGAGCTCCGGTGTACACGGGGTGGGGGCTAGGTCACGGGAGTGGAGCCCTCAGGACAGCACCGGGGCCCTTATGGAACAGGCCGCAGGAGCTCCTCTGCCCCTTCCAGCCTGTGAGGACACAGCTAGGAGGCGCCACCTACGAGAAAGGAGACCTCCAGAACTATGAGGAATACCATTCTGTGGCTTCTAAGCTACCCTGTTCATGGTCTTTGGTGAGAGAACTAGACACCGATTTAAACTATTAACCAGACAGTAGAGCAAAGGCCAGACCCCAGACTCAGAGTCAAACTTGGGGGTAAAGATTTCTACAGCACACATCACAGGCTGCTGGGGCCTCCCCATGTCACTGCTTCTCTTGTACCCTCTCTCCCTCACTCTTTATTAACGCCCCTCAATTTCCCACAAAATGGTGACTGTACCCCCAATCGTGGTGACCTCTGGTTGGCATAAAGCCTTAAACCACTCGGCATTTCTCTTTCCCAGATCCCACAGAGGATGGACGCAGAATCCAGCCAAGGATGTCATCTGCGTGTGTGCTTTATGAAGAATCCTAAGGCAAAGATTCTTACACTCCTCTCTGCAATTCACCCAGGAGGCACGGCCCCCTGGGGGCTGTTGGCAGCCATTCTGGGCCCAGGAGGGAGAGGAGAAACAGTGGAGACAGAGGTCCAGGCCCCAGCATTTGCTCTGCACTTTAAGGCTCACCCTGAGGACTTCATTTCCTGCTTAATTTCCAGCTTCTACTTCCCACCAATTTAGGACTTGTTCTCTTTCATTGGCAACAGCAAGGCTGGTAATGTACAGGATTAAAGTGGGCCTCAGAAGACAAAGAAGAGGAAAGTGGGTGTCTGTGGTAGCCTAGCACTGTGGGTAAGTAGCTATTTGGGGAAGAGGGGCCGGAACCTGCCCTGAGAAGCAGCCGGGAAAGCAGGACTGGGCTCAGGTAGGCCCAGGAAGAAGGCGGCCAGCTGCGAGCTCCCACTTGGAAGAGGAGCGCACAGCCAAGTGGTTTCTGTCCAGTCAGGGCTCTGGTTAATACCATTGCCTGCCCCCCAGGGATGCTGAGGACCCCAAGCCAGCCCCTGGGACCTGGTGCAGTCAACAGACTCGGGACAGCAGCTGGTCAGCAAGGAGAAAGCGGACAAGGGAAGGGAAGGACTGAGTGAGCCGGTACAGGGAATATGGGCCCAAGACAACGGGAAGTTGTGAAAGATTTTTAATTAAGGACGAAAAGAACGGATGCGGCAGAGACCCAGAGAACAAGAGAGCACCAACGCTGGGACAGTCACTGGGAATGAGCCCCAAGTTGGACCCTGAATGAAACAGACAGCAGCAGCTCCAAACCTCCTGTGCGACTGCCAGCCACGTCGTCCTACAGAGCCGCCTTTGCCAGTCTGCAAAGCAGCACAGAGCACAGCGTTAGAGGTACTGTGGCACTGGGAAAGCTCGAGCCAGAGGAGCCCCGGGCGGAGTTCCTGCTGAGTAAGTACTGCGGGTAGAAGAACAAGACTAGAGGACACAGGGCAGGAGAGGGCCACAGGGAGACCCGGCTTTGCTTAGATCCCGCCTCCCCGGGAGCGAGTGGTGAGTGGGCGATCTGTACAGGAGCGCTGCAAAAAGAAATTCAAAGAAAGGACCACACCACCTCTGAAAGCAGGGCACCCTGCAGCCATCACGTGCAGCGAAACGAACCAGTCAACAAGCTTGAGCGCCGAGCAACTCCCCTTACTGGAGAAGCCCAAAGTGTAAATCATTTAATGAGCTAGAGAAAGGACGAGCAACAGGAAAACGGGAGGCAGAACCTGGTAAACGGTTCGGGAGACGAGGAAGGGGTGGAAGGGAAGAATCGGGAGGCGTTATGTGCATGGACCTGCCTCACGCCATGCATGTTCATCGCCGTGTACTACAAACACGCACTCACCCAAGGGTTTTTGTTTTTTTAATAAAACAAGGGAACCAAAGAAAGGTTAGGAAGGAAGGAGGGAAAGAAGGCTTCTGAGAGATGCCGATAGCACCAGCTGATCTCCTCTGGATGGTACTTTTCCTCTGACAGGGCCACTTAGCAACCGTGCGATGCACAGGACCCAAGCCCTCTGAGGGCGAACCCGTAACAGACCATCGAGAGGCCGTGGCGGCGCCTCTCGCAAAATCAGGCCTCGCGCTGGATGGGTCAGGCGAGCAGCAGGCGCAGCAGCTGGTGGCAGCCGGGAGTGACCTTCCTTGGGACCTCTGTTCACCCAGGGAGCCTCGCCACCCCTCGAGCCCTGGCAGCCCAGCCCGGGGCGGGCGGGCACAGATCTGAGAAACTAAGAGGACGAGAAGGCCCTGGAGACAGGGAGGAGAGACAGGTAAGGCACCTGGCCAGCTACTAATAGATGACTTTAACATTTGTAAGGTAAGCGGTGAGAAGAAACTCTAAGATGACTGTTTACTTTTAAAAATTATTACAATGAAACACATCGCCGTTAGCACACCCCCTATGATTCCTTCTGGTTTTGCACAGCCTTCTTGGCGATGCTGTAACAAGTCTTTGTTTAATGGAAACAGTCACCACACTGAGCTCGCCCTGCATGTTACGGCCAACAGTCAGTCACAGCCACGAGCCACGCTCCGCGGCAACGGTAACAACAGCCCGACGAAGGCGCGTCGGCCTTCGCGCCCACGGCCACCACCGGTCGGCTGGGCAGCGCGGGAGTCCAGGCTTCGGGCACCGCACCAGACTCCACAGCAAGG